AGGGAGGATTATTCAGAGCAGGTTCGATGGATAACGGGGATGGAATAGCAGTTGGATGGTTAGGCCACCCTGTCTTTAGAGATAAAGAAGGGCGTGAACTTTTTGTACGCCGTATGCCTACTTTTTTTGAAACATTTCCAGTTATTCTAGTAGACAGTGATGGAATTGTTAGAGCCGATGTTCCGTTTAGAAGGGCAGAATCGAAGTATAGTGTTGAACAAGTAGGAGTCACTGTTGCGTTCTACGGTGGTGAACTCAATGAAGTAAGTTTTAATGATCCGGCTACTGTGAAAAAATATGCTAGACGCGCTCAATTCGGTGAAATTTTTGAATTAGATCGTGCTACTTTGAAATCTGATGGGGTTTTTCGGAGTAGTCCAAGAGGTTGGTTTACTTTTGGGCACGCTTCATTTGCATTGCTCTTCTTTTTCGGACACATTTGGCATGGTGCTAGAACCCTTTTCAGAGATGTTTTTGCTGGGATTGACCCAGATTTAGATGTGCAAGTAGAGTTTGGAGTATTCCAAAAACTGGGAGATCCAACGACAAGACGACAAGCTGTCTGATATATCATTTATCCTATTATTTTGATATCTGTCTTTCGTTCTTTCTTTATCCGAAGCGAAGTAAGATATAGGGTAAGATATAGGATAAAAAAAACAAAAATAGGTAGGAAAGCTATAATTGGAAACTACGATGTAATTTATGGAAGCATTGGTTTATACATTCCTCTTAGTCTCGACTCTAGGAATAATATTTTTCGCTATCTTTTTTCGAGAACCCCCTAAAGTACCAATGAAAAAGATCAAATAATTTTTCGCTATAGTAACTTGAAGTAATAAGCCCTCCACCGTGGGGAGGCTTATTACTTCAACTAATCTCCATGTTCTTCAAATGGATCTCTTAGCTGTTGAGAAGGTTGTCCAAAAGCGGTATAGAAGGCATACCCAGTAAAACTAAAAAGTAAACCGGATATAAATATCGTCACTAGGATTGCTGTTTCCATTTTTTTATTAGTATATAATTAAAATACTCCAAAGGATCTATGCTAAGATCATTTCTTTATAACGCAATGGTATACAAAGTTAACAGATCTCTCAATAAATAAAATTGAATAAAAGAGGATTTATGGCTACAAAAACTAGTGAGAAAGGTTCTCAATATCGTCCAAGACAAACTACTATCGGTAATTTATTAAAACCATTGAATTCAGAATACGGTAAAGTAGCTCCGGGGTGGGGAACAACACCTTTAATGGGTTTGGCAATGGGTTTATTCGCGATATTTCTATCTATTATTTTAGAGATTTATAATTCTTCCGTTTTATTGGATGGAATTTCAATGAATTGAAACCTAGTCCCACTTTTTTTATTCAAAGCGGCGCCCTTTTAACTAAGATTTAGAATGCATTCTATTTTATGTAATTGTGGTAGTTCGATCGTGTTATTTATTTATTTCTATCATTTCCGGAATATGAGTGTGTGACTTGTTATAAAGGATCCTATTCATAGTCCATAAAATTTGGTTATCTTACTTACCAGAGATTATTTGATTCGTCAGATATGGATTCGAGTATCTGAAACACGAGATCTATTTGAACTATGATTCAGACTTCCTATTAAGACCTCGTGCCCGGGTTCCAAAAAAATTTTGAAACCAAGAAGGTTTGATTATTTAAAACCTTCTGGATGACCAAAATAAAAATTCCATCTATTTAGTATGGTTAAAGTTAATTTAAAAAGGTTCTTACTCAGGGAATCCTTGATTACGTTTCAATTTTTTTAATCGTGGTTCTAAATAGGAATCTTAGGTTTTTTTCGATTTATAGGGTCTTAACAAGGTAATTCCTATCCAATCAAATAAACAAAACAAATAAAAAAAGAATCATTCCATAAAAAAAAAGATAGGTAAAGAGAAGCTTCAAAAAGCCCGTCAAAATAAAAATAAAGACAACTGAGCTAACTTGATATGTTTGTATTAGTGCCAAAAAAATCAATAAGAAATAATAGATTTCGCATTTTATTGAATATAATCTATGTGTTGGTCTGGCCGGCGCAATGAGTATTTGGACATTTTTGGTTGAGCTGTACGAGATGAAAGTCTCATATACGGTTCTCAGGGGGGGGAAATTACCCTATCTCAATAAAGTCTATGATTGGTTCGAAGAACGTCTGGAGATTCAGGCGATTGCAGATGATATAACTAGTAAATATGTTCCTCCACATGTCAATATTTTTTATTGTTTAGGGGGAATTACGCTTACGTGTTTTTTAGTACAAGTAGCTACCGGGTTTGCTATGACTTTTTACTATCGTCCGACCCTTACAGAGGCGTTTGCTTCTGTTCAATACATAATGACTGAAGCGAACTTTGGTTGGTTAATCCGATCGGTTCATCGATGGTCAGCAAGTATGATGGTATTGATGATGATTCTGCATGTATTTCGTGTGTATCTGACAGGTGGGTTTAAAAAACCTCGTGAATTGACTTGGGTTACAGGTGTAATTTTAGCTGTATTGACAACATCTTTTGGCGTAACCGGTTATTCGTTACCTCGGGACCAAATAGGTTATTGGGCAGTGAAAATTGTAACAGGTGTACCCGAAGCTATTCCTGTAATAGGATCACCTTTGGTAGAATTTTTACGAGGAAGCGCTAGTGTGGGGCAATCCACCTTGACTCGTTTTTATAGTTTACACACTTTTGTCTTGCCTCTTATTACTGCCGTATTTATGTTAATGCACTTTTCAATGATACGTAAACAGGGTATTTCTGGTCCTTTATAAATCAAAATAGAAATAAAAAGAGATCCTAAATAAAAAAAATTTGTAAGATATGTTATTTCTCACTTGGAGGAGGGGTAATAGTATTTCATTGCTAAAAAAAATCCATTCTTTAAAAGAATAAGAAATGGTTTTTTATATTTATCTTCACCCTTCCTATATTCTTTTTTTTTTACATGAATACACAAATAGGCGAGGGGAATTCTTTGAAGTTGAAGATCAATTTTACGATAAAATGGATTATGGGAGTGTGCGACCTGAACTATTGATTGGTCCATGTAGATATAAGCCTACCACATTTGAATTATCACCACCCAAATGTGTCTTTGTTCCAATTGGCGCATAAGCCTTATGTGAGGGATAAGCTGGTTCCCTTGAAGATAATTTATTCTATGATCATATAAAAATCATGTTATACATGATTAGGCTCCGTAAAATCCAATATTGAATATAAAAAGATCCTAGAAACTTTTTATTTTTATTTAACATTTTAAACGCTAATATAGAATCTGTAAATGGAGTCATTTCCTCTCCATTGGTCCGATCTCGATAATACTATCGGAGTGAAACAAGAGATCTAACGAAGAAAAGAAACTGGACTTTTTTTTAGTAACAAGTAAACCTTTCTGCGTATCTTAAAATATGAAAACTTTTTGAAAATAGTTTCAGATAAATACGCATTCTAAGGTTGGAGACGACCCAAAAAGCACTTGATCCTATCAGAAAATTAAGCCTACTTGGGTCTTGAGTATTGACGCGTAAGCAAATAAGAAAAGAAATTTAATTTTTTGACTAGAGAAGGTTCACTTGATAAAAACAAATTTTTTCTTTTACATTGAACTATTTCTATATCATAGATTATCTTTTGTGTATAAATGAATATAAAGACTCTTAACGACTCTAAGATAACCTATAAACTACCTAGCTTTAGAAATGTATTTGTTCATTCATATAATGATTAATTCTTTTTTAATTATTTGTTTGAGTCTTGCTCGAGCTGGATGATTAAAAATGATCATGTCCGGTTCCCTCGGGGGATGGATCTCTAAGACTTCACCTATCCCAATAATAAAAAAACCTGACTTGAATGATCCTGTATTAAGAGCTAAATTGGCAAAAGGTATGGGTCATAATTATTACGGGGAACCCGCATGGCCCAATGATCTTTTATATATTTTTCCAGTAGTTATTCTTGGTACTATTGCATGTAATGTAGGTTTAGCAGTTCTAGAACCCTCAATGATTGGTGAACCCGCAAATCCCTTTGCAACCCCGTTAGAAATATTACCTGAATGGTATTTCTTTCCTGTATTTCAAATACTTCGTACAGTGCCTAATAAAATATTAGGTGTTCTTTTAATGCTTTCAGTACCTACGGGATTATTAACAGTACCTTTTTTAGAGAATGTTAATAAATTCCAAAACCCATTTCGTCGTCCAGTAGCAACCACTGTGTTTTTTATTGGTACCGGAGTTACCTTTTGGTTGGGCATTGGTGCAACATTACCTATTGAAAAATCCCTCACTTTAGGTCTTTTTTAAATTTGTTTTGTGGAGTTTTGATTCAATTTAAAAAAAACCAAAGCTTGTGTATCTAGGGAAGCGTTTCTTGAAAGTTCTTCCTAGATACACGTCAATTCATATTCATGAATGTTTCAATTTATTTTTTTTATTAATTAAACCTAAGTTTATAATCAATACAGTGCAAAATATTTTCCTAGAATCCCCAATATATGTTTTATATCTTCTAGTTGAAAATGTTCTATTTTTAAAAGATCTTCTTGTTTTTGATTAAAAAGATCAAATAATGTAAATATATTTGACTTTTTCAAGCAATTATATATCTTGGGAGGGAATTCTAATTGGTCAATAAAAATTAATTTCAATGAAAGTTTCTTTTTTTTTTTTATAAGTGTAGTCACTTTATTATAAAAGATAAGGGGGGGTAGGGGAATTGTGTGTTTTGCATCTGCTAAATATAAGTTTTCTTCTTCCATCTGGAAAAAAGGAATAAAGAAATCAATCAATATTCGGGCGGATTCATGAAGTGCTTCTTTTGGTGTTAAACTTCCATTTGTCCATATTTCCAAAAAAAGTATCTCTTGTTTTTCATTCCCATAAGAATGAATACTATGATTTGCATTTTGAACCGGCATGAAGAGAGCATCTATAGGATAACTTCCATCGTCAAAGTGAAGGTCCACTTTGTTGAAATATCCGCGATTTCTCTCTATTTTTAATCCAATAAAAAAATCAATAGGTTCCGTCAACCAAGCTATATGTTGTGTGTTATCAACAATTTGTACATGGGGGGGTAATATTATATCTTGGGCAGTTACATGTCGAGGTCCCTTGATACAAATAGACGCATCACAACTTTCATATAGATTGCTCCTCAATACAATTTCTTTCAAATTCATTAAAATCTCATGTACCGATTCTTGAATCCCCCCTATGGTAGAATACTCATGCGAGGCTTTCTCAGATTTTACACGTGTGATACATGTCCCTTCTATTTCTCCCAGCAAAGCTCTTCGCATCGCAATTCCTATTGTATCGGCTTGACCTTTTATAAGTGGAGATAGAATAAAGCGGCCATAAAAAAGGCGTTTACTGTCTATTCTTGATTCAACACATTTCCACTGTAGTGTCCGAGTAGATACTGCTACTTTCTCTCGAACCATAAAAATTTTGATTTAGTATATTAGTGAATCTTCTATTTCTCTTGATATAGGTTCACTTTTTGATTTCTACACACGTCGTTTTTTGGGGGGTCTACAGCCATTGTGTGGCATAGGGGTTACATCCCTTATAAAAGTTAATAATATACCGCTTCTATGAATAGCTCGTAATACTGCATCTCTTCCGAGACCGGGACCTTTTATAAATACTTCGGCTCGTAGCATACCTCGATTCACTACTTTACGAAGAGCATTTATTACCGCGGTTTGAGCAGCGAAAGGTGTTCCTCTTCTGGTTCCTTTGAATCCAGAAGTACCGGCAGAGGACCAAGAAACTACCCGTCCCTGTACATCTGTAACAGTCACTATGGTATTATGGAAACTGGCTTGAACATGAATTACTCCTTTTGGTATTCTACGTGCATTCTGACGTGAACCAATACGTCCCCCCTTCCTACGCGAACTAATTCTCGATATATATTTTACCATTAAGCATTTTGTAAATCTGAGTCAGCGATATACTATATGGATATATCCATTTCACGATTCTTTCATTTCTATAATTGGTTTAGTTACTAAGTTAAGTTGCGAAGTCTTATTATCCCTGTCGTTGTTTATGTCTGGGATTGGAACAAATTACTATAAGTCGTCCCCTTCTCCGTATTAATCGACATCTGTCACAAATTTTACGAACAGAAGCTCTTATTTTCATATTCAGACTCCTTACATTTCTTTTAAATTTACTTTAGAGTTTCGGTTTGATTGGAAGATTATAATAAAAACATTCATTTTTTTTTTTATTTTCAATTTCTAATTTTGTTATTTTTGCCAAAGAGATAGCTAAGTTTAAAAATGACTCCTTTGAATCATTGTTGTGTTGCAAAAGCTTCATCGACTTGTTCTGAAGTTATCCGTCTAAACTAAAAATGAATTTAGCCTATTTTCACAAAAAGAACTTATAATCCAATCTTTATTACTTTATTAGTTGATTATCTAAATCAATAAAAAAGAAAACCAGAACATACTATTTGAAAAGGATTCCTTAATAAAAAAATTCTTGAAAAAAGGAAAGTGATTTTTTGTTCTTTCATCCGAAGGACTTTATTCTTTATTTCAGTGACCTAGAAGCAATAAGGAATGGGGATTTCATTAGATTCTAAAATATCCCATTTGGGAATCATAGAAATGGAAAGTTTCTACCTAATTGGCATCTTGAAAATATTACCATATATAAAACAAAATCTCCCCCCCCGATTCTTTGCAGTCGGGCTTCTCGGTCTGTCATTATACCACGTGAAGTAGAAAGAATTACAACCCCCATCCCGCCTAAAATTTTAGGTATTTTTTTAGACTTAGAATACATTCGTAGACCGGGTCGACTTATCCGTTTTAAATTTAGAATATTGCTAAAGGTCCTTTTTTTAGTGTTTATATGTTGCAGAGTTAAAACTAAAAAATTTTTGTTGTTTTCTCGATGATTTCTCACACTTTCAATAAAACCTTCTTTTAAAAGGAGTTTTACAATCTTTTCGTTAATATTACTGGATGGGATTCGAACTGTTCTTTTTCCATCCCTATGAGTATTCCGTATAGAAGTTATTATCTCAGCAATAGTGTCCCTACCCATGATGAACTCTAATTATGGAGCTAAAAATTTTTCTACTCTCAACGTGTTTTTTTTATTGTCTATGGATTATTGTGTTTATCTTACTTTATTTTAATCTTAAAGTTATATACGTGAGACAGATTCTACTCCATTTTTTAATTTTTTTTATAATACCTCAGGAGCTAATGAAACGATTTTAGTAAAATTTAATTGTCTTAACTCCCGGGGGATTGGACCAAAAATTCTGGTCCCTTTTGGATTTCCTTCTTTATCAATAACAACTGCGGCATTATCATCATATCGTATTATTATCCCGTTGCCACGTTTTAGTTCTTTAGAGGTACGCACGATTACGGCTCTAACTACTTCAGATCTTTGTAGAGGCATGTTAGGTACAGCTTCTTTGATAACAGCAACAATAATGTCACCAATATAAGCATATCGACGATTGCTAGCTCCTATTATTCGAATACACATCAATTTTCGAGCCCCGCTGTTATCCGCTACATTTAAAAGGGTTTGGGATTGAATCATAGCATTTTTTTTATTCTTTTCTTTCACAATGCAAAGGGCGAAGAAAAAAAGAAATATTTTTTGTCCACAAACATAAAACGAAACCTCTTTTTTTTTTGTTTTTGTTTCATTCTTAAGATTCTTTGGGTTGGTTCTAGAGTTATATCGTCTATTCTATCTCCGAAATAATGAATTGAGTTTGTATCGGCATTTTTGATGCTGCTATTGAAATAGCTTTTCTGGCAATATTTTTTGTTACTCCACCCATTTCAAAAAGTATCCGACCGGGTTTAACAACAGCAACCCAATATTCAGGGGATCCTTTTCCTGAACCCATACGTGTTTCTGCGGGTCGTACAGTAACTGGTTTATCGGGAAATATACGTACCCATATTTTTCCTCCACGACGTGCATTTCGTGTCATAGCCCGTCGCCCAGCTTCTATTTGTCTAGATGTGATCCAAGCGGGTTCAAGTGCTTGAAGCGCATATTTACCGAAACAAATATGATTCCCTCGAGAAGCTATTCCCTTCATTCTTCCTCTATGTTGTTTACGGAATCTGGTTCTTTTGGGGTTATAGTTGATGGATTTTTATTTATTCCATCTCTACTACAGAACCGGATGTGAGAGTTTCTTCTCATCCAGCTCCTCGCGAATTACGAATAAAGTATTTACAAAATGAGCGTTTGACTCAAATTGACTAATCATAGTGAAGATATCTAAATCTAAAGATAGATAATAAAAGTCTGGACTGAGAAGTCAAAATAATATTTAGGGATTGAGTGATCTTTTTTTAAATCTATTTGAATTGAAATGAATTATTCTACAGTTTTTTCATGATTCTCTGAGTCTAACTAATCCTTCATTTTTGACTATTCTTTATATTGCTTTAGATTGAATATTGATTCTTTTGAAAAAAGTTTTCGCGGGCGAATATTGACTCTGTCAATTTAGATTTCATTTCTAGGACGAGTTTGTGACATCTTATAGCTAGTATCTAGAAATAAAATAATTTAACATTGGTTTATTCCGCCATCCCAGCCAGTGAATGTTTAAGATTTTTTTTTATTTCATCTTGAATTGAATTGAATCTTTTGTATTCTCATAAGTTCCGTCGTCCCCATCACTTCTTACTTAATGGTTAGGTCCTAATTTTACAATGGAGCTCAAATAGTAATAATATATGAATAATTTAAGTCTTTAGCCATTTTTCCTTAGTCTTTATTGGCTTTAAGCTCTTGACTTTATTTTTTTATTTTATCTCTTCTATATTTAATATCTAATTGAATATTTATATATAGATTATAGATTTCTATAATAAGAGTATATTGTTTTTTATTATTGAATATTCTTAGATTTCTTATTCTATTTTAAATACTTTAATATGCAGAATTTAAGTATTAATGCTTCATTACATTGCCTGTTTTGTTAGACCCTACATATTGGAATTTTCAATCATTGAGCTTCTTTTTCTCCCTTTCTCTCTCCCTTCCAATTATCCACATCTTTTTTATATTTTGCTTCGCAACTTCAATAATATTTGAATACTATTTTTCGTTTATGCAAATAAATGGCAGTTGCTACAACGATATGAGCGGTAATCATATCGTGACTGGTTATTTAGATCCAGATAATGCGAAATTGATGAGTTAATTATTAGGTAATTTCTTCTCGAGTTAGTAGTTGTTACTTTGGGTTTGGTTTCATGCTAACCTTAAAAAATAAACGAGTCGCACACTAAGCATAGCAATGATATTTTTATTAAAAATAAATAAAATTTTTATTCAACCTTATAGAATTCATTATTATCAATTAGAACTGTTCCTGCTCATTACACAAAATAATTGTGAAATGGCCGCTCGGTATTACAGGTAAAAAGAATGAATAAAATTTTATTGAGCTTGATCAAAAAATATCCAAATTTTTATGCCTAAAACCCCGTAGATAGTTCGAACTGAATAACAACAATAATCAATTTTAGCTTGAATAGTTTGGCGGGGAATTCTTCCTTCTCTTATCCATTCCACACGTGCAATTTCCTTTCCGTCAAGGCGTCCCGCAATTTGTACTTGAATTCCTTTTGTATCTGCTTGTTCAGCTAATTCAATAGCTTTTTTCATTGCTTTTCGAAAGGAAACTCTATTCTTTAATTGTCC